TAATAATAATTACTTCAGTATCCTAATTTTTCAGATGGCTTGAGCTGTATGGGTCAGCTTTAGTTTGTGACTGCTGTGACTACAGCTGCAGTTCTACCACTACAGGTAAGGAACATGTTTTCGGCGGATAGGTACAGTTTACAGTAATTGTGATATTTTTATCACACAAAATGGGAGTACCTGCTGACATCACTCGCTGACACTTTGGTGTTAATTATATCCAATTGTTTCAATAGAAAACCAATCCACCAAAACCATTAGCAGCAAACCTTGGACAATACAACCTGAAGTTAAAACCACCAAAAAAACCACGAAGAAGAAAACGACTTCATTCACAACAGCATCAACAGCTTCAACGCGTTCCAAGGAAGAGGGAAGAGTCACATCGAAGCCTAAAGGACGTTCACGTATTCGTTTGGGTAAGCTGGAGAACACGGGGAACAAAACAGTCTGGCCCTTCAACGGTGGAGTGAGCGTGACATGGGTCACGTCGGAAAGTGAGAAAAAGCAAACGAACGGCTCCGCTGTCAAAGAGGAACAAGTAGAGACTTCTGTGGGAAAGGGGGAAGTAAAGAATGCCACTGTGGAGCAAGAGAAGGGAAAAGAAGAGGTGGCGGCAACGCTGCCGCACCTTATCTTTGAAGACATCTTTGATTTTGGTAAATAAAGTAGTAATGGTGATGTGCAAAAACAAAAAGAAGAGCTGGGCTTTATTAACACAACCAGTTATAAACAAGTAAAAGTGATGGGAATGTGTATCATATTTTACAGTTTTACCATGTAATAAAAAGAAATATGTCAATTAATTAATTGACTAAGATATGTAAGATTTGTCTCCGTTATAAAATCTGAATTAAAATTAGTCAACTAAAAAAAAAACATACTGGAGTTAATGGTATACTGCTGTATATAATATAGTTTATATTAACAAAATAAAATAAAGCAGTGTATCATTTCCAAATATTGAAAACGTACAAATCATGTATTATTATGATGATGAAAACATATTCAAATCATACAGTGAGCAGCAGCAGTGTGGAGAAAAACTCTCTTATACCAGAATGAAACCTCTAGCAGCCCAAAAAAAAAAAAATGGGGGAGACGGCAGAAGGGGAAAGAAAGGAGGAGCTGGGGTAGACCTACAGGATGACATTATAATATATGGGAGCATAAAAGTCACACAACCTGCTACAGTGCAAACAGAACAGTTCTAACGGAGCACTTTGTCAACAATTATAATCATCAATTTTTTTAATTACATAGTATGGTTTAAATTTAGATTTAAAAAAACTAAACAAAACTACATTTTGTTTTCTTGCAAAAAATACATAAGGTAAATCTTCATATTTAATGAAACTTTTTTTTTTTTTTTTTAAAGATTTCCTGAACATGAAGTGTTTTTTCTAATTTTTTTCATTTTCAAAATTCATCAAGCGGGCTGCGTTTGGCCCATGGGATGTATGTTTGAAACTGCTGCTTTTAGCGGCGTCTAATGATATTCGATTTGGGCAAGACGAACAACTCCACAAATCATACGTTTCCTCAGATGCTAACGGCACCACGAGTTTATTTTCAGGTAAAAGCATTATTTATTAGCATTAAATCAAGGTTACATTGCTACATACAAATTCTGTACAATTCTGTAAAATTTTCTTTTACAAATGTCAGTCACACTGAATATGCTGTAACACCGTTGTGCTTCTCACAGCAAGGGGTATAATGGTAAATACTTCCATTATAATTCTGTCTTCTTAACCGTCGTTCTTTTCCCTGGATATCTCTTCTTTTTAAATCCAGTCATGAATGTCCGGGGGGGGAGGGGTATTCCTAAATTTACCACAATGTCCACCTTTTTCCACCAGATCATTAAGCACATACCTAAATTGACTGGCGCTCTGTACAAAATACTATGGTAATTTCTTACATGTGAAATAGGGCATTTGCAGAAAAACCGTTTGGCGACGAATCAAACGTGAATGGTACAAGTCGAGGAGGCAAAAATGCGCTTTATCCCTCTGATTCGCTTACCCTGTTTCTTCAACTACATTCCAATATGGGTGGTAATGTTACTCTGGCAAAAGAAAAATGTACACAAGAACACATCAAGCCACCCATCCTTGGCAACAGGTGGTAGGAAAAGCTGTCCCAGTTTCACATGAACCCTTTCATGCATGACGGTCACTATAGTGGACAGCTATTAAAATGTCATTTTCTACAGTGGACGCCTGAGAATGCATTGTAGAGGCGTATATGCAACACTGCCATCAAAACCTATTCTTATCATAGAAAATGACATTTTAATAGCTGTCCACTGTAGTGACCGTCATGCACGAAAGGGTTAACCCTAAAAAAAAATGTGGCTGTGCGGGGGAGGTAGAATTCCACCCAAATTATGAGCAGAAGATCCCCCTGGAGTCACTGGAGCTGATAGAACTGCTTGATGCTGTGTAATTTCCGTTAGCAGAAGTCACGAAAATAATGTACGGCAGGTCACATGCTCACTGTTGGGACGTGTGTCTGTGTAGTCTCTTGACGTTATAGCATCATTAAAAATCTTCTCAACTCGACTTTACTCTATTTTATTGTCAGACTTGTTGACATATTGTCATTAATGCTCTAACGCAGGCATGAGCAAACTAAGGCCCGGGCGCCGGATGTAATACCCCAATAGAGAAGCATTTTAGCCTATATGCATGACTTTTACATGTCATTTATCTTAGTTCACACGAACGCTTCATCTATCTGCTCCTGGACCCCCCCGCCCCCCGTTCAATTTTAGGACAATTGGGGCCCACGAGTCTAAAAGTTTGCCCACGCCCACGGAAAAAAAAAAAAGTTATCACAATAGCACATCGAGTACGCATTGTATTAGCCAATAATATGCTGTATGCGATCTCGCCTGGGTAAACAGCTACCAGCAATCGTTCGCAAATGCGCTTATCTCAATTTCAAAACAAGAATTCACATTTTTTAAAACAAAACAAAAAATAAGATCGGATTGAAAAATAAACCCCTGAGATGTACTTGGGGAGCAAAAGGTGAACTGCGATATAGAGAGGGAGCACCGTATACGTATATTGTCTAAATTTGTGCATGTGCTTGTTTTGCGCAATTATCCAGATATTGACGCAGGAACCTTGAGAACAAACGGTCAAAGTTTTTTTTTTCCCTGGTGTTAAGATGATGTTTATAAGAAAAACCGAATTCCCTGTGTTATCTTTTAGCAACTAGGAACTAACATCCCAATAGGATGGAAACAGTCATTACAACAGTTAACTGTCTGTGTACAAAAAAAAAAAAACCCCAGTATATCCAATAGTATGTCGAGAGTGTATTAAAGAAAACGTGATAAGAAAACATTCCTTTACATTAATTACATGATTCCAAATTCTCCTATTCCATATATGTGTAATGTAGGATGAGACAAAGACAATTTAATAATGCCCTTGTTGTAGGCTGTAGCGTCATGTCACCTTTATATTTAAACGGACTTCGGCCCACATCCTTCTCTCCTATTTAATGTCTTTCATGTGTGAAATGCATTGTCCTTAGTAGTATGAGCTCAGATGGGAGTGAGTGGCAGGGTGCCTGCTCATGGCTGACCCAGGATAGATTGGGCTGTTGGGGGAATTCCAGTATGTAGTTGAAGGGGGGAAAAAGTTGCTGGCGGACATGGTCATTGGTGTGGTGTGTCCACCTATGAAGTTCATTTTGGGCTGGTGGCTGTGGTAGGGCTGAATGTACGACATCTCGGTTTGATACTTACTAATGCTACTCTCTGCCGTGTGATTCTGGTGTGCCTGGGAGATTCCTTGGAAGTCAAATTTGTAGGCGTAACGCTTGCCGTGAACCTTCGTCATGATGTTCTTGTCGTAGTAGTAACGCAGAGCACGGCTCAGCTTGTCATAGTTCATGTTGGGCTTGCTCTTGCGCTCTCCCCAGCGCTTGGCCACCTCGTCCGGGTCAGTCATTTTGAACTCTCCATTGGTGCCTTCCCAAGCGATGATTCCAACGTTGCTGCTGTCGGACAGCAGCTCCAGCAGAAACTGCCATAACTGGATCTGTCCTGAACCTTACACGTGGCAAGAAGAGGAAAAATATTTCAAAAAAATATACATGTGCAAAAGCTATATTAAAACTATTAGGGAGGGACACGTGGAGAAGAGATTTAATAGGAACAAATAACATTGGAGGGATAGGCAAGGATTCTGGCTCTTTTAAGAGAGCTGCTTCTTTGACACCCAAATTGTTGCTTAAATAAATGTATTCCCACAATTATATCAAATCGTGTGTAAAATTACCAATGTCCAAAAAAGATATAGCAAATGTTTCTTATGTGGCCCTTTGGCCCAGAGGCAATGTCTCTTGTCATTGGTGTGGAACCCCAGGGTTCACCTCCTGGGTGGTTAGTGCCTTGGTGACTTACCACCCGCAGGAAGGTTCACGAGGAGCTGGTGCGGTGCAATGTGATTTGGAGACTGCTGCCCCCTCAACCCAGTAACGGGTAAGCAGACAAAGATGGATGGATGGAGATGTTTCTTATTTATATTGCTTCAAATTAACGTACAAGGAAGTGCGACAAAAGTAATCCATCCATCCATCCATTTTCATCCGCTTATCCATTACCGGGTCACGGGGGCAGCAGTTGCCACCCAATCACATTGCACCATACCAACCCCCCTAAACTTTCCGGTAAGGTGGTGAGTCCACTGGAAGGCGCCAACCGCCCTAACCGGGATTCGAATTTGCCCAGGAGGTGAACGCTGGGGTTCCACACCAATGACAGAAACATTGCCTCTGGGCCAAAGCGCCACTACGAAAGTAATATTTAAGTTAAAATATAAAAACTGATCCAAATTTCAATTTGACAAAGGAATCAATCTATTATTGCGTCTATATATATATAAACTAGTTATTTACAGCAAAACTCCCAGCAAAATGGGAGTTAGCTCTAAACTAGTTATTTACAGCAAAACTCCCCGATGGGAGTTAGCTCCTTGTTCCCGACTCGTTCTCGAACGACACATCAGTAACGGAAGCCGAGACACAGCGGTTTTCCAGACTATAAGTCGCACTGGAGTATAAGCCAAAAAAAAAAGCATAATGAAGAAGAAAAAACATATGTAAATCTTTGTCGTACAGGAGTAGCAGATACTGGTACACAAGCCTAGAGTGCCCTCTAGCGGCTGTCTAGTTAAAACTTAAAACCCACCCTGTTTTATTTCGGGCATTTAGAAGCTTGTTCAGGTTTTTTTTTTTTTACATCAAATGTGACCTTTTCACTGTGTGGATTAGTAGAAGTTGGAAAATGAATGGGCAGAAACCTACCCACAGGCCTTTGAGCGCTGGGGTCAATCTTGTAAGTGCTTTGTTTGCCTGTTCGGTTCTTGGGTGAGCTGAGGGCTTGGTCTTCTGCGAGAAAACAGCAGGTCAAATGATTAATCTTAATTGGATCGTCAGTATTGGCATGCACATTGAGACTACAGCTGTTACTCGACGTTGGCCTCGATTTGGAAAAAAGGACGAATTTATGCCAGCCCTTCTTTTCTTTCGCTCTCATTCTACCAAAAAAACAGTGTAAAGGCCTCATTTGTGTCACTGTTGTTTGAATCTTGAAGTTTCAATTCTTACCTGGATTGGCTAATCTGCTGCTTATTGGTCCGAGTGTCTGATATGGATCTGTGAACCAGAAAAAGTACATTTGATTTTTGGTTTTTCACAGATGCGATGTCTTTCTAGTCGTAGCGATATCTAAATTGATGATTCATTTGAACCCTGTTGTTGAGCTAGGGCTCCCCCGTACCCTTTCCGACCCACACCCCTGCCAATTGAAATACTATTGAGAACCTGATAACATGTATGGGCCAACACATGTAAGTAAAGTACATAGTCCAGCATTGTGTTACAGACTAAATCAACTAAAGGTTCATCATCTAGGATGGTGATACCAATTTTCGACCATCCCTCTCTAACTATGTAGATCAGTGGCACTATGGCATATGGGAGGTGGGGAAGGACAATTCCAAGGGCCCCTGACTAGGCCCCCCCCAAAAATATAAATTGTCATTTTCCACTTGGGTTCTTTAGATTGTTACATCGACATGTTGCGTAAAGGTTAACACCGAACAAAAACACTTCCGAGCAGCAGATTCATGTTTATATCATACCTTGCATAATTCTTAAAGTTGGGTCTGTAATTCTTGTGCTGTGTTCCATTGAAGAACCTTCAATTCACAGAGAACACATAAAGCTTCTTTACATTTATTTTCTTGTTCATGTAAAAAATAAATAAATGAATAAAGTAAACACTATAAAAAATATGATTTAGGTTTCTGTTTCAACTTTCTTCTCATACCTTTTGACACTGTGGTCATGGTGTTTGTTGGCCAGCAGTTTCTGTGGCTGATCTCTTCAAACCCACTCTCTGCAGAAATGTACATATACACACACAAAATGAAAAGTTAGATCAATGCCCCCCACGGATAAGGATTTTTTTTTTTTTGCCTGCTAATTATTTATTTATCTGTACAAACCACTGTATGAGGGTTTGCGACTTATACTCAATTTGCCTGCTAATTATTTATTTATCTGTACAAACCACTGTATGAGGGTTTGCGACTTATACTTAGCTTCGACTTGTATATTAAAACATATAATTTCACACGTTTGTTATTTCCCCACTGACAGCCGCTAGAGGTCACTGGAACAACTTATAAATTCATTATTCCTATGCTCATGCTTATACTCCGGAGCGACTTATGTTCTTTATTTTCACACTGACAGCCAGAAAATAACCCAGAAAATGCGATAGTTAAGAACTGACACAGCTATACATTAGCTAAACCTTGTTTTTGCGTATTGTTGGTGTTGTTGTTGTTGCTGTGGATACGAGACTGTCAGCATAGCTTTAAACTAGGTTAAGTAGATAATATTCTGAAATACTGTATCATAGATTTGCTTCATTTGCATTGAGGGCAATAGTTGTGATACAATAACAGTAACTACAAGGGTCATTTTTGCTCATTTTTTAATCTTAATTAATCTCAGGATCTCCTCATTTGTCACTGTCCATAGCCTCAAAAAATATATTGAGGCTGTGTGGTCTCACCTGCTTTCATCTGTAGTTTAGGCGGCTGTACTTGGGTGGTGTTTGTAGAACTTGTTGAGTAGGAAAATGTGGAGCTACCTACAACAAAGAAACAAATCTGATTGTTTTGATTTTTTTCCAAGACAGATCAGATCAAATTAAGGAAATCAAAGTGGTCCATGTTGCTTAAGACTGACAAAGATCTTGAAAGCCAGTGAGTCCATATTTAATATTTAATATTTAGTTATTACAGCGGCTCTATGCCTTACTCAGGACGCCCATAGAAAAGGCTGGTCGTCTCCAAAGTTGGCATTTTTTAGAGTGCCAGAAATCAATTCATAAATATACCCTATGGTTATTTGTTACATGTCATTTGACAAGTGAGTTTTGTTATCCATCCATCCATCCATCCATCCATCCATCCATCCATCCATCCATCCATCCATCCATCCATCCATCCATCCATCCATCCATCCATCCATCCATCCATCCATCCATCCATCCATCCATCCATCCATCCATCCATC